GGGGTTCTAATCCCAGACCCAGCACCTTGAGAAACACACTGAGCATGCGTGTGTGTGTGTCCAAAATCGGGAGAGATGGAGGAGAAGGAATTGCAGTGCCACCATGCCCTTGGGAGGTGCTTTCTCTCTTTCTCCCCTGTAAGTGGGAGATTAAAAAAACAAACAAACAAACAAAAAAAACAAGATTGCTGACAAGTTAAAAAAAAAAAATGATTAGGATATTTCCTTAACCCCTGAGAGTTCTTTATGCTCCTTTGTAGACAGTGCCCTCCCATCCCCCACCCTAGGCAACCACTAACCTGATTTATATTGTTACAGAGTAGTTTGGCTGATTCTAGAACTTCAAATATGTGGACTCATATGTATACATACGTTTACACATATACGTACACACATATACATATATACACGTACATATACATACATATGGCTTTGTATTGCTGCTTCTCTTTCCAGTGGGTATTGTTCCTTTAGCGCGTCTTTCTGGTCTCTTGTTTCTGTTTTCCACGTTTGCAGTGAGCTGTGATGGGCGCAGAACTAAGCCTTAGAACCGTTTCTGAGAAGAGGGTCTTCGGCGAGAAGGACAGGGCCTTTCCCTGGAAAAGCAGTGCCTGGTTTCGAGAACCCGATCTCGGCCACTGTTGTTGCCCGCTGCATGTCGGCCGGGTGGGAGCTGCAGGAGTGGCTGAGTGTAAGCCTTAGAACCGTTTCTGAGAAGAGGGTCTTCGGCGAGAAGGACAGGGCCTTTCCCTGGAAAAGCAGGGCCTGGTTTCGAGAACCTGATCTCGGCCACTGTTGTTGCCCACTGCATGTCGGCCGGGTGGAGCTGCAGGAGTAGCTGAGTTCAGGCTGAGTGAGGGATGGCTGACTTTCAGTGACTGTTTCCCAGAATTCCGTGGTTCAGGACAGTGTCAGTTGGGCCGTTTTTCTGGTTTGCTCCTGCGGTAGAGTTGAGGTATGTGCAGCTCCCCTGTGGGTCTGGTAAGGGCCTGGTGCGTCACTCATTCTGTCACCGTGCAGTTATCTGCCTGTCTTTAGTCTGACAATCCCATCCCAATAATAGATTTCATCATTCCAGGGCATCTGGTGAAAAATAAATGATTTCTTCTGAGAGAGAGGCGTACCCTGAATAGGGTCTGCACGCTGCCATCCACCCTCAGCCACAGCCAGCCCAGCACCTG